AGAAATCTTTGCTTTAGTCCAAATGGAGGACCATTGTTGGGCAACGACTCCAATGTCCCCTTTGGTAGCAAACGTGTTGCAGGTTTATTCATAGAATATTTATTAGCTGAGATTGGTGAACTGTCTAAACCAGCCATTTTTTAGGACGTCCTTTCTTAATTGCTGTCCAGTGCTGACCCAGCCTGGGAGCAGTGTGCTTGTTGGGAGGCGAGGGGGTGAGTTCTGGATGTTCACTGTGGAAGCTCGGTGCACCGCGGGACCCGCCCCCACTCGGCATGGCCCGTGAGTGGGTTCCCCGTTTCCTCCCCAGGAACCTGCAGCTGCTTCTCATCCCTCCTTCCCTGACTAGGGGATGCCTCACCCTGAATGAGGTGCTGTCCTCTTTGCAGCTGTTTCTTCACTGCGCCTCTCACTTCGCCACAGTGCAGCCAGCTGTCTCCCTGGGCGGCATTAGAGAGCTTGGGCTCTGGGATTCGTGATTGGCAGATGGAGCTCCCCAGGTGACGGCGTGTAGGCAAGATTGGGCGACAGCGATGCAGACGGAAGTCAGAGGCCACGGCCAAGAGGGCTGTTTAACTTGGCTGGAATCAGCAATGCCTGGTTCTCTAAAGAAGCAATAATTAATCTCTCAGTCTCAGCGCTTCTCATCAATGGGAAAGAACATAACACAGAGGCGACTTAAAACTTTTCAGTTATTGCATCGTATCATACTAACGCATAGCTGAGTGATTTAAGGACCAGCCTTAATTGAGTTTCTAAAATCGAAGGGCTTCTTTTTTTTTTTTTTTTACTTGTTTCATCCTGAAATTAGGGGTGCAGTAATGCTGGGTGTTGGCTGAGGGGTGGGAATTACAATTGCAAAGGACCAGAATGAGTGCTGAGAAGATGACCTCGTTCATGCACAGGGCAAGGGTGGCAGTCACTGCCTTCAGCTGATCAGTGCCCTGGCTTGTCCCTGAAGCCAGGTGTCCCCAGGGCTGAGTTGTTCCGGACCCCACCCAGCTGCAGTGAGAGCATGACGCAAGGCTCACATGTAGACCCTTTCCCATGATCTACCAGGCGGCCCCTCTGGGCTGGAGAGGAAACACATAGCCCCTTGGGCTGGTTATCGCTGTTTTAAGGACAGTGGATGTTTAGTAGTCACTTCAGAATGTCTTTGATGAGACACGAGTGTCACCAGGTGCCCTGTGATGGTCATCACAGTCCATTCACATCACTGGACGGTGGGCTTCCTGGTGATGACAAATTGTCGTTGGTCCGAGTGCCCTGGGACGTTAAGAATACCCCACAATTTTTTTTTGGAACAGGATCCAAGAGAATAATAAACCCAAGTTTCTATAGAGAATAAATAAAGGATCTGTAACTTGAGTCCAGATTCTCAGTCTGACCCCTTTCCTGTAACACATGTCGCCCACCCGGCTGATATAAGTGGGTTGACAAGTGAAAATCCTCAACAGGACATAGGACTGGAGCTCCGGCAATAAAGCAGGTACAGTCAGTAGAGCTGATGACTCTTAGGTCAGTTGTCTTTTGTGGGGCATTTAGGCATCTTCTTGCCAGTCTTCATTTTGGGATGATGTTTCACAACAAATTAGCAAACCCTGAAAGTTTACCTGGTGTCCGTACTTCTTGCAACAGATGATAACAAGGCACAAGGACAGAATGAAGCCCAAATCTGAGACCCTGTTCTGTGTGGTCCTCGACGAGTCCAGTGTCCTCCCCATCTCATGTACCACATGAACTCTACTACACAGAATGTAAAATAGCAAATAAAAAATATTAGAGGTGAGCGTCGAATATATACTGTTCGTGTAATATAAGCACCTTAGGTAATTAAAATATCATTAAAAATAAATACTTCATAAGGTTCAGAAAAATTAACATGAAAAATTGAAAATGAAATAATATTATTTAGCACTTTTAAAGGTCATGGTTGAAGAAAAACGCATGGGTAGGAGCATCATGGGTCCCCCAGAGGACTTCGTGCAAACCCTGGCAGCTGCTGGGAGGCAGTGTCAGCACAGCCTACTGTGCATCTAAGCACGTGCCTGGGCTGGCAGTGCAGTGGGGGTTTAGGCCAGCGCGCTTTTTCGCCAGCAGCTTCGGGATTTTCACTGGTAATGCACCGTAGCGTTTGCTTTGAGGAATGCCTTGCGCGGTCTACCCTGACTTCTCACTCACACTCCAGGTAGCAGGAGGGTCGAAGCCCTTACTGTAACAGTCTCAACATTGTCGAACTCATCTGCTGCTTGTTCAGAAAATATGTGAATTTGAGGCAGAGTCTCACGTACAAGCAATGTGACCTCCAAGGGAACTTTTGAAGTCTGTGTGGATTTTTGTCACAAACATTTGGGACAAGAGTGACACAGAGTCTGTACAGGATCAAGAACGTCCTGGGAAGGTCCCTCCAGGTGAAGCTTCTCTGGCCTAATCACGGGGCACTTTCACATTCTCCGATGGCTGAAGAGTAAGAGCGACCACAGAATACCTGCACCCACACACCTACTGACGGGGGACCGTACCTCCTTCGCAGTCACCAGTCCGTGCAGATGCACCAGACACAGGTTCTGCCCCAAGCCCATGGTCACCGAGCGTCTGGATCAAGGTACATCAGTGTCTCTGGTGGAAATGAGTGACCACAGGACGTGCTGGCCCCTCAGCCTGGGAAGCAGAGAGACCCTCTGTGCATCCACACTGGGTGTCTACCTGCGACACTATTCTGAGCACTCTGCAAAGTCAGGAGTTCCTGACTGAATTAATGTAGAAAACAGTTTTATATTACCGAAAATGCCATAATGTATCTCACTGTAAGAAGAAATTATGAACTTGAGCATCACAGAGGCAGAAAGAAACTTCTGGAAGTCTAAAGTTTGCTAAGCATCATAGTCATGGCTAATGCTTGGAGCCCTGTATGCCGGGCACTTCCGCTGAGTGTCGGCACATTGTTTAACTCTCACATCCGCCCTTTGAGGTAGTTGGGAGGCAGGTGGTGCAAACACGGAGGCTTCGCGAAACCAAGTCGCTCGTGGTGCACAGCCGAGAAGCGGAGGGTCAGCAGCAAGTCTGGGTCCTGACTCCTGACCTCAGAGCCGGGTCCTTCGCCAGCACCCTGGGCGCCTGGCCCGACCCAGCTCAGAGCACAGCCACAGGCGGGCTTTTGCTCCGCGGCCTTCGTGGATTTCCGTGAAAGAAACATCGTTTAAGGAATAGCACCCGTTAAATTCAAGTACATCCAGTCCAGCTGCGTTCAACCCCAGTGAATCACATGAACCCCTCGGCCTGTCGTCACGCGCGAACCCCACGGCCTGTCCTGGAGGCCGGGCTCTCCGGAGCCCCCTTGGCCTGCGGGGCGCCCACGCAGCTGTGCTGTCAGGGCCTCCTTCCTTGAGGGCCCGGGAGGGGAGGGCAGCGTTTGGAGCCCGTGCGAGGCCTGTGTTTGCCTTGTTTTGTGGTCCTTTTGCTCGCGCTCGAGGAACAGAAGCGGCACTACCCTTACTCGCGAGTCTTGACGCCGCCCTGTCCCCGTCCTCGGACCTGCCTGCTTGATATTCCTACGCACTTGGAAGGGGAGTCCCCCAGTGAGACACGTCGTCTCAGGGTCCCTCCCTGGCGCGTGTGTGTGTGTGTGTTCCCACACTGGAGGCGTTCACCTTAGAACCGCCCGGAAACGCCATTCTGTGGCTTCTACAAACACTCCAGAAAGAGACCGTGGCTCCGAAGTACTTAGGTTGCAATTAAAACCTAAATTCCAATCTGCTCCTGGTCGCTGCAAGGTAGTTCCGTGCAACCCGCAACAGACTCCAGGAGGAACAACGTGTGCATGGAACCCGCCCTGCAGCTGTGAAGCTCACTTCTCTCCTGCCTTCCGCCCCGCCGGGCCCACAGGGGGACCCTGTGACCTGCTCTCAGCCTCAGCCCTGCCCGGCCTGCCCGCTCCGCACTCAGCGAACCCCCTCCACGCTGCTGGGGCGCGTCCTCCTTCCCGCTCCAAGCCGCACCCGCGCCGTGGTTAGCCCGCGACGGTGCTGACCACACGGCTCACCTCTGGTTCCACTCTGACCTCAGGGCCCTGATGCTTTCTTTCCTCCTGCGCCCATTATTCTCATTATTCTGTGACCCTTTAAACTCCATCTGGTTTCCAACTACCTATCTTTATCTGCAATCACATACATAAATAACGTTAAAAAAAGCTATTTCTCTCCAAATAATGGAACTGCCATGAGTGCAAGAATTGTGTTTTGTTTGTCCACTAACCTCATTACGAAGAACAATCCTGACACATAGTGGGCCCTCCAAAACTATGTTTGTATGAATAAATAAATCACATATTTTACTTAATCCACTCTGCATAGTTAACATTTAAGACAGAGCTAAGTATGACATATATGTACAGTTTTGGTGCATTTGTATCCATATTACTTTACAATCATGTTTTGATGTAAAGAGATTTGATTCTGTATATTTTCTTTACATCTGAAGAGCATATATATATATATATATATATATATATATATATATATATTCATTTTGTTTCATAAATGAGTTTTAACATTAAGGGAAAGACTATTCAAATGGATATGTTGATTCAAATCTTCAGTAGGAAATTAACAGTCTCACATGTACTGTTTACATTAAAAACCACATAGATTAAAACAAAATTGGTGTTTGCACTTTAGAGGGAGCGATTGGGGGCAATGCAGGAAGTGCCTGGACCAGGTACATGCATCTATTAATTATACCGTTGGCACTGTCAGCACATCTGCGTGGCCACGCATACCCCCTAAAGGACAATACATTAAATAGCTTTCTCTCAAGTTTAAATTACACCTTTTTTCTAGCTTTTGTAATGAAATGTTGGATGCATCGAGTATCCTTTCGAAGCTGTTTATGAAAATGATGTTTAGATCAGCAAGCATAAACCACTTGTTCTTTTTCAGTATTGTTTAAAAAAAACTAAACTGTTCATTGTGTACTTTTAATGCTTCATTTGTCTTTCCCAGAAATTGAAAAGGGAGGCTGTGGGGACCCTGGAGTCCCCGCCTATGGGAAGCGGACCGGCAGCAGTTTTCTCCATGGAGACACCCTCACCTTTGAGTGCCAGGCAGCCTTCGAGCTGGTGGGAGAGAGAGTCATCACGTGCCAGCAGAACAACCAGTGGTCGGGCAACAAGCCCAGCTGTGTGTGTGAGTACTGGGCCTGGCCCAGCCCGCGGGGGACAGAGGGAGGTGAGTGTGCGCTTAGGGAGGGCCGGCCCGGTTCGCCGGGGAGAGCTGCTCTGACCAGCAGCAAGCAAGGCATGCTGCCCCTTCCGCTGTCCTCACTGAATGGCGCTGACTGGTGATACTGCAGTGCCAGACCAACCGCAGTGAGACCTTTGCACAGGGAAGAACCGAGCTCATGGCCGTGTCTGATGCGGGTCTGCCCGAAGCGTCTAGAGCAGTGGGATTTGGGGCTTCATGGGTGACACTGGGACACGAGTGGTGAGCAGGGGCGGGGCTATCAGTTTGGACTTCAGATGAAGAATTGCCTGCTTCCACCTATGGAAAGTGTTTAAGCAAGGAGAAAAGGACTCATAGCCAAGTTAAAAACAGTTTTTTGTTTTGCTTTGTTTTTTGTAACTAAATATAGCAGTGGCCGAAAAATGGATATGAAATCATGTAAAATAGGAACAAAACCACACCCTAGAAATCAATGCAATAGGTGTTCCCTCCAAAAAAGGAAAAAACATATATATGTGTATATACATATATAGATATATAGACATATTTAGATATAGATATATAGATATAGCTCTGTGTGTGTGTATATATATAAAATCTTAAAAGTAAATTTTTCAAGAGATTTTTATAGTATCCACCCAGAATATAGTCTGATTTTCCAAGTTATTATTTCTCAATAATCACCTTATAACTAATTAAATACATAAATGACTTTAGAAAACACACTTTAAAGGAAAACATAAACTATAAAGTCAAAAGTTGTAAAAGACTGAGTAGGACCAATATTACTTTCCAGAAATTGTTCCTGTGGCACAGACACACCTTTTCCATTGAATATTTGCTCTTTTGAAGACAAAGTAATAACTAGAAATGTTAGTATTTGCCCTGGTTTCAGTGCACCGGAGGGGACCATGAGTAAATGGAGCCTCTACTTGGTTTTGTGTAGGTCTGGTTGTATTACATATAATGTACTATTCTAGTGAGTTTGGACAAAGAGAGAACGTCATGGTCCACAATGAGCGAATTAGAGTCATGGGTCCTGGCGATGGGCCCAGGTCCCTTCCTGGGTTCTCAGCCATCGCTGTGCCCAGTTGGCAGCAACTTCTTTGTGTCTTCACAGTTTCGTGCTTTTTCAACTTCACTACGTCATCAGGGATCATTCTGTCCCCAAATTACCCCGAGGAGTATGGTAACAACATGAACTGTGTGTGGCTGATCATCTCCGAGCCGGGAACCAGGATTCACCTCATCTTTAACGACTTTGACGTGGAGCCTCAGTTTGACTTCCTTGCTGTCAAGGATGATGGTGTTTCTGATGTCACCGTCCTGGGGACCTTTTCCGGGAATGATGTGCCTGCCCAGCTGGCCAGCAGCGGGCACGTGGTCCGCTTGGAATTTCAGTCGGATCACTCCACGACTGGCAGAGGGTTCAACATCACTTACACCAGTAAGTGTGCTACCCCGTCACCACGGCCGCCCCTTTCCTGACACAGCAGAAAGCTGAGTGTCAGGCCAGTACTGCAGAGGTTTTATAGTCATAATGAACATAATGACAGGAGCAGAACACACAGCATTATCCTGCTAACCAAAAATGCACCAGTGTTTAGCACAGTGTCCTGGTCACCCGTGGTAAGCACTGGCTCGCTCACGTCTTTTCTCTTTCTGGCCAGCCTCCCTCCCTCCCATGCATTCATCCTCCCATCCATCCATCCATCCACCCAGCTAGGCACAAAAACAGTACAAGAACAGGATTGAGGCATTTGGGGTCAGGAGCCATGGATGAGAACCTCACCCTTGTGTATACTTGGAGAATAGTTATAAGACAGATGACTTTTCTTTGCCTCGGATTCCTCATTTATAAATCAGATTATATTTAAGAACATCCACTTAAATGCCTTGTGGAAGGAATGAAGTAAGATTGTAATGTTAAATAAGTAATAACTTCCTGCCTGCCTACTTCTCTGAGGCGTGGTGCTTAGGATTTGCACAATTACTTCGTAATTATCTCACGTGGCTGTAACTCTGGGATGTAGGCTGTACTGTAATTGGAGCGAGCTGGCCTCAGAGCAGCAGGGTCATCTGCCCACGAGCAGGTGACTAACACAGGAGCCAGGATCCGAATCAAGATGCATGTGGACCAAACTCCCTGCCTGTTCTGTTTTCCTCAGTGGACCTGAAAACTGCCGTCGAGCTGGTAAACACTGTGTGATGACAGTTCCATGCACGTGCCCATCTGCCTCTCTCGCTAGAGAGCAATATCCTGTTCATTGACTGTTTTTGTCTATCTACCTATGAATAAATAACTGAAATCTAGGACAATATGTTGCCTTAATAGTTGGTCCTTTTAATACATATCAATATATATGATTCATAGTTGAGCATTTTATTCTATTTTTTTTCCTTTTCAGCATTTGGTCAAAATGAGTGCCACGATCCTGGCATCCCCATAAATGGACGGCGTTTCGGTGACAGGTTTCTACTTGGGAGCTCCGTTTCTTTCCACTGTGACGATGGCTTTGTCAAAACCCAGGGCTCGGAGTCCATCACCTGCATCCTGCAGGATGGGAATGTCGTCTGGAGCTCGGCTGTGCCCCGCTGTGAAGGTGCGTTGTCATCTCTCATTCCGTTATTTTCCTTTGAAATGGTGCATCTAATTTAAAAGCAAATGAGCAATGATATTGGTTTATCAGGGTTACCATAACAAGACGAGCACAAACCTAGGGTTTAAACAGCAGAAAGGCAATGTCCCCCGTCCCAGAAGCAGACGTCCGACACGCAGGTGTCAGGGATGGTTCCATGAGGGGCGCCCTGCTCCAGGCCCCTTCCACCCCCAGTGGGCTGCTGGAATCTCTAGACTTAGAGAATCCTCACCCCAGCTTTCTCCATGTGGGGGTACCTCTGTGTCCACATGTCCCTGTTTCTAAGGACACCAGTCACATTGGATCAGGGCCACTTCAATGACCTCATCTTAACTAATTACATCCTCACTGACCCTCAACCCAAACAGGCCACACGCTGAGTGCTGGGATTAGGACTTCAAAACATGAATGGGGGGGTGGGGGGGCATGATTCACCCATGACAACAACTTAGATTTTAGTTAACTTCTTCAAATGTAGCTGACATAAATAATACCTAGTTTTCTTCTTGACATTTCAACTCTGGTTACCTATGAAAAAACACAAAGAGAAAAAAATCAAGGAGGGTATTACCTGTGATGTCTCCTCAGGTAACATATATTCACTTAGAATATATACTCACACCCTCCCTATCAGAGCGGTCCATGCATAATAAGTGAGGCAAAGCTTTTAGAAAAAATTATCTACAGTAAAAAAGAGAGATTTGTTTGTTTTTAGTACTCACTTTTTAGAGCAGTTTTAGGTACACAGAAAAATTGAGAGGAAGGTACAGAGATTTCCCACATAACTCCCCCAGCCCCCCACACACACCCACAGCCTCCCCCACCATCAACAGCCCCACTCAGTGGGGCACGTGTGACACCTGATGAACCTGTCCTGACACGTCATCACCCAGGATCCACGGTTCACATCAGGTCACTCTTGGTGTTGCTCCTTCTGTGGGTTTGGACAGGCGTGTGATGACACGTACCCACCATCACCGTGTCACACGATACCAGGTAATGTGTCACTGCAGACAGCCCCTAACTCGAAGGAGACTTGCGTTCTAAAGACCTCCTCCAGACATGTGCTTTCTGTTACCACCTATGGGAGTGTGAGCATCAGGGCACTGGTGTGTTCGCCAGGCACTCCGGAGTCCGGAGCTCCACCAGGCAGGGCTGCTCTTCTTGCTGAGACACTTGGCGGGTTTTGGCCAACTCGGTACTGAATGGCAAGATATGTTCAGCCTCCGGCCCGGAGTCGCTCATCGCCAGCAAGACCTTGTCCGTGACCATGGCTGCTGGAAGGAAGGCCTTGTGGACACAGCCCCTCAGTGTGTAGCCTGGGGACAGTGATCTCTCACTTGAGCTCCCCACACGGCGCGCGTGTTTGTTACCTCAGCATCACCTGATTGAAGCTGACTATGAAGCAAACCTGACATCATCATTCAGTACTTTACGGTTTAAGTTTGTTGATACGCAGTATTAAGATTAACATGTCTAATCAGGATAAAGGGATACACGTTTTACGTAGTCATAAGTAAAAGACAAGATGTTAATAAAAATAACGTGACAATTTAGGTGCATTCCAAGAAATATGATAGCTCAAAACATTTTAAAGCTTTACTAGAAGAGACATTTTTATATTTAGGGAATAACTCATTATGCAGATTTAGAAGTATCGCAGCTATCATTTTTTTTCTAAATCTCAACATAGTATCACTGGATAGTTGCTTAAACATGAAGTGAAATTAATATGCTTAATACAAAGAACTCAATAAACTCAGTTTACTTGGGAGTAAGTTTTGCTTTGATGCTTGAAACCGTCAAACCAGGAACAGAGCAGAGCGAGTTCTGTGACCGTGTCGTTACCTCCCCCTCCTGCACTCGGTGACCTGCTGACCTCCTGCCTCACCTTTCAGCTCCATGTGGTGGACATCTGACAGCTTCCAGTGGAGTCATTTTGCCTCCCGGATGGCCAGGCTATTATAAAGATTCTTTAAACTGTGAATGGATCATTGAAGCAAAACCAGGACACTCTATCAAAATAACTTTTGATAGGTAAGTAAAAACACTTTCTTCCTTAATTTGGACCCCTGCATGTCCAAGGTTTTTACTTAAGTGAATCTTAAAAACTCGAAATATGATGGTTGCTCATTGGTTCCCCCAAATGAATTCACTTAAAAGCAGCAAGCACTTGCTGGGTAAGCTTTGTTCTTGAATTCTATTCTCTAAGGCCGGCTAAGGCGCCCCCTGCAGGCTGCCTGTCAGACCTGGGGTGGAGTACACTGTACCTCCTGTTGGAGTGCGCGTAGCCACTCCTTTGGTACCTCAGGCGCCTTCCTGAAGGGCAGGAAACCGGCACTTCTGCTTGGTGGCGGCCACCTGGAACTGGAGGACAGGCAGGAGGCTGTAGTTCGCAGAGCTGGCAGTGGCCTGGGCGGGACAGGTTAATCACCTGTGAATTATGTGAGTGGCACGATCCCTGGAATGCTGTTTGGCATAGCTATTTGATAATATATATGGTAACCTAAAATAATCATGCTATTCAAGTTTTTCGTGATGAAACATGTCCCCATTTGCCTCAACAATGAAGTCAATTTGATGATTAGAAACAAAAAATGTTTTTGAACGAACCATGTGCTTTAAAATCTACAGAAGCTTCTCTGTTTAGTGTTTCAAGTTCAATCTCTGAGCAGCATCAGGATTTTTCTAACAATAGCTTTCTCTCTGATTAGACTGAGTTCTGGGTTTTAATATTCAGAATATTAAAATGTCTCAAAACAGAAGAACATTCTTATATTATTGTTTCCACTAATTTTATAACAATAACTTTCATACAGGAAAGGTTTTGAGTAGAAGTTATCTATTAGTAATTATTTGTACTTCAAATTATTATTTCTATTATTACTTTTCTCTGATGGACAACAATAATCTCCACTAGGATCATCTCTCAGTAGGAAGGAAAAGTTTTGGTTATGTCTCCGTTATGTTGGAGAACATGTCCCTACATGTATCTTAACCACCTGGAGAACACCAACTCTATAGTATTCATAAATTAAGCCTGGTTTGTTACTAGTTTTTATACTTTCTGGTGTTGTCAGGGTAAAAAGCAGACGCACATTCGAACTCCCAGCAGGGCATGGATGCAAATCATTTTGTAAAAACTGTGCTTTTCAAATGCAGCTTGACACAGCTCATTAGCACGCTGTCATTCTATTCTTAGTAGCCTGAACAGAGACACTCACATATTTTTTCTCAATCTTTTTGATATCATTATTGAACTGTAGTATTTTGTTGAATTCCATTTGTAAGTACCACTATTTCGGGTATTTCCGGACATTTGTGATTTTCACACAGATCTTTAGTAAAAGCTTAATTGCACGGTGCAATTTTAGTTTACACCGAGCCGCAGGCTGACACCCTGATGGAGGATGCGTTTGCAGACGTATTTTCAGTTCCATACTGGTCATCCTTGCACAGTGTGTTAGGGTACCAAATAAGGAAACACCCCGCTTCCTCTCTTTCCGCTTCTCCTGGCGATCTTCCAGCTGCTGAGGCCTGCCCTTCCTCTGTGCTAGCTGTCGTGAAATCAGGTGTGCACACTTGTGTGCAGAGATTTCAAATGGGATTTATCCTGTGCTTTTCCAGACTCGCGAGCTTGAACTCACATAACCGAGAAACTGTAGGGCGTTTCGAGAACGTTTTGAACAGGGAAAGACAGGTGCACTGTCCAGCCCCCAGCGCCCAGCCCGTGGCCTCAGCCTGGCCAATCCGCGCCGCACACACGTTTATTGGCTCTTCCTGTCCTGAGGGGCGCGTGCGGCCGAAAAGGCGCAGCGCTGGTGGTTCCCAGCGTCGCCACGTGCCCGGGGTCGCTCGCTCCCGCTCGGAGCCGCGTCAGGCCGCGGTGCCCGTTCTAAAAGTTCGGAAACGCGTAACGATTGGTTTTCGGCGCTTAGTGACAGGTCTCGTATTTAATAACGGCGGGCGCCTGCGCCGTGCG